CCAACGTGGAGCTCCCCAAGCCATGTACCTGTAAGGCTGCAAATGCCTGTTTTCCGACTAGTACTGGGTAGACCATGAAAAACCCCAAGTTTAGGTGTCTGAGGTGAAGCTAAGCATGACTTCCTGAGAGCTCTGGACTGGGGAGCCCATGCCTAGCCTCTTTGGGAGGGGCTGGGACCAAGGGCTGCCTCTCCTTCTTGCCGTGTCTGAGAGAGGTTGACCCAGGCCTGGGATAGGGCTGCCCTGTATCCAGACCATTCTCAAAAGAGGCCTGTGTACTTGACAGTGGGACCTCTGGCCTGTGGGTAGGAACTAGTAACAGACTGTGGAAGAACATCTCAAATGACATTTAGGAGAATGTACTTCACTGAATAGAATCTTACAGAAAAGAGCAAGATGATAGGAAATTAGGGTTATGCCGGGAACCAAGAGGAAGATCGGAGCAGTAGTAAAGGCTCTTAGTCTCCTTTCTTTTTTTTTTTTGGCTCTCACTCCTTCCTCCTTCCTTTCTTTCTTCCCTTTTAAAAAACAAAACAAAACAAAACAAAACAAAAACAGCTGAGTGAGACCTTGGGCAATTTCTTAAACTCATTGAGCCTGCATTTCTTCTCTGTAAAGTGGGCACAACAACGTGAACCCCAGGTTGTTGAGAGGATTCAGAGTGTGTCTATGTGATGCAATGGGTCAGGGATGGGCAAGCTTGTCCTCGCCCTCCCTGCCTTGTTCCCATCTCGTTTGCATCTCTGGGCAGTGCCAGGGGGCCTGAGGCAGTTTGTCAGTGAGACTAGAGCCATAAGGGCTCTCTCTCGTATCTAGGGGACCACAGGGACCCACGGAGGAGGCCTGGCTCCTGGCAACGGGAGGGGCTGGTGCTAGTGAACGCAGTGAGCCCCACCATGTCTTGTCAGGCTGCCCAGCCAGTCCTCACTGCTGCTCTGGGGCAGGAGTGAGTACCTGCTTTGTGTAAAAGAAGAAATAGAAGCGTAGACTTGCCCAAGTACCGAAGGTCACACACAGCAAGTGATGGAACTGATGCTGGAACCAAGTTTCCTGGTCCAGAGGCTCTGTGGAGTCAGCACTCCACCGTTTTGCACTCCTGTAACTCCAGGAGCTGTTTAGGTTTGGGCTGAGAACAGTTCCCGACACACGGAATGACAGTCCTGGGTGGAGGCTGGGAGAGAAACCTGAGGAGCAGGGATCTCTGTGAGTTTGCCTCACCACCCCCCTCCCCCTGCCCCCCCCCCCAATCTCCTGGGGCTGACCCTTGCTCAGAGTCCTGCTGGAACAAGATCCGATGGGTCAAACCTTTACAGAGGGCCCGCCCAAGACAGGTACATCAGTGTGATTGTTTAGTTTAATGCTCACCATAGCCCTGTGAGGCTGGCCTCGTTAGCCCACATTCTAGATGAGAAAAGTGAAGCTCAGAGAGTGGCAGTGATTTGCCCAAGGTCACACAAAGTCAGGAGCCTCAGCGCTCCCAGACCAGGGCTTCACCTGTGGCCCCGCGGCACTGCCAACATCGTCCACCAGGTGGCAATCTCCCCCAACTTGATGCGGGCAGCCGGCGACCTGGAATCATATGGCAGTGCCCATGGTCGCTGATCCCAGTCCTCTCTGCCAGGTATTTCAAAGCCGCCCGGAAGCATCACTTAGTAACCGTTGTTCCCAGCGGGAAACGGATGCCCTGAGAGGGGCTGTGGCTTCCCAGGGAAGGAGGTTCTGTGTGCGTGCCTGAACACAACACTCGCTTCAGTCCAGTTCCATTTGCGACTGGTGCACCTGCTGCCCCGTCCTTAGCTGAGATATGCTGGGCCTCATTCCCTTGGCATCCCTCCGCCCCCACTGTTGTCAGGCCTCGCCCCGTGGTGGCAGCTGAGCTGTCCCTTGACTCTGGCAGAGGTCCAAGGCCCAGCCTCTTCTGTAGGTGGGGTCACCCTTACCTGGTTTGAGGCTGTCTGGACAGCCTGATGGACCCATGCCCTGTTCTAACCTGTGATCTTCTTCCACGCCTGCCTACAGCCAGGAAGAATTAGGAGGGGGTCCTCTGCATCCTTCCTGGAACACCTTACCCCTTCCTTTCATTACTGATGGCTGGAACAGCCCCCCTTCTCAGTGGATTCCTGCCACTGGATTGCTCTACTAGAAACTTCGTCCCAGTCTCTGTGCTGCTCAGGGTGGGCCTGTGGGTTCCCAGCTCAGCAAGTTTTCTGCCTGGGTAAGAGAGCGAGGTTCCGCTTCTGTCAGGCATGCCCGGTTTCTCTAAGGAGCTCTGGAATAGTTCCCATTCTCCATCACGGCAGTCACTTCTCCGCAGGAACAGAGCGCTCCTCACAGGGCTGTGCTGATGTCCCCCGTTTTCCCTCCTAACACCTCCGTGTGTCTGTTTATAGAGTGTCTCCATAGAGTGTGGTCTTAGAGCCTCCTGTCCTCAGCTGGGGGCCTTCACAAAAGTTCCACAAGCCTGAGACCTCAGGGGAAGTCCTACTCTACATCCTGTCAAGCAAAGGTCATTTATGGACACTGAAAGGGTTTAGTTTTGAAGCGAGGGAGACTAGGAGCTCCACAAAGGCAGGGACCTGCCATTTGAGTTCCACGTTGCCAGCACCCATCACAGGGCCTGCATGAAGTAGGCCTGGGCAGATCTCTCACATGAGTGAGAGTCCCCGAGGTGACCTCTCCCTGATGCTGGATTAGGTTGGGTCACCCTTTCAGAGCAGGATGACTCCCCTCCCTCTGGAGCCCCCACATTCCCCTCTGCAGGAAGTGGGAAGGATGGAGAACAGAACAAATATTTATGGCTGCCGGGTTCCCACGCTTCTCTTGTTCTCATGCCTTCTCCACGATTTTTGCTAAATCTATGTATTCTTAATATTTTTCTTTAGCATATTTTATGTATATACCTAATCTCACTATCTCCTAAGTAATAATATTCATGAAATCATAGGTTTGATATATTAGTTTTATTTTTTTCCTAATATACACTGAAATAAATAAATAATAAATAATGAAATAAACCACCGACAAACATCCTCTGTGCCACCCGTGAGGCGTGTACCGCACTTGGGGTATTTATTTTTCACAACACCCTATGAGGTTAGTGATGTTATTTCTGTGTTACAGGTGAAGAAATAGAAGCTCAGAGAGGTGAACGGCCTTGGCCAAGGTCACATAGAAGAGTCTTTTGATCTTGACCCTACTGCCTCCAGATAGGAGAGGGGAAGGGAGGCTGTGTGTTGAGGGGGATGTGGGGTGGAAGGGGATGGAAGCAGCTACCAAAGAGAAATGATGGTGGCAGAGAAGACAGGCGGTGGGGGCAGGACTCCACGTCAGAAAGGCAAAGGACCTGAGTGCCGACGACCTATGCACAGTAATGGCCGTGCAGGTAGCCGCAGATTTGCCTGCACTTGTGTGACCAGGATTGATTGTGCTAGCGAGCCTGGTAATTGGATGATGAAAGCACTGCAGCTGGGACTGCTCGCTGGAGATTAATTATTAGGGAGGAAGGGAGTGGCTGGGATGATGCCGGGCGGTGGCGTTTGTGACCTCCCTGCAAGAGCAGGCAGCCAGACCTCAGCAATCCGGCGGACCCCTCCGCATGCAGCTGCTACCCAGAGAGGGAGGCTGCTGGTCCAGAGCCACAGCCATACCATGTTTCATGGCAGAGTGGGGGTGCGGGGTTTGGGAGGTCCCCTGGAGGAAGGCCGTTCCTGGGAAGGAGCAGCAGCTACGGCGGCAGGAGGAGGAGCCTGGGCTTGGAGTCAGGAGGCCAGAGGGGAAATCCCAGCTTTGTCGCTTACTGGCTTTGTAGCCTTGGAAAGGTGGCAATATCTTTGAGCCTCAGGTTCCCCAGCTGTAAAATGGGGAGGATGGTGCTGACTTCACTAGGAAGTTGTGAGGCTCCAAGGAGATTATTGGGCCCTCTAGACCTGGGACCCACTCTGGGGAAGCTTTTATCTTCCCCCCACTGCTCAGGTCTGGCCCTTGTCCCCCCACCTGGGGCCTCTGTGTCCTTCCTTACCCTCCCCAAGGCCCCAAAACTTGGTGCCCAGCCACTGTGGGTACTTTCTGCATGAATGTCAAGGTCCCCAGCAGGATGGGGAAGCCAAGGGGTTGGAGGATCCCAAGAGGAGGCCCCGAGGGGAAGGCAGGGTTAGAGAACGAGTCAGTCCTGAGTCCAGCCATCTCCAGGCTCTCTAGGAGAGCCTCTGGCTGGCATCCGATTCTGCTCGCACTTGGCAGGACTGTGGCTGGGCTTTGAGGGATTTGTCATCCCCCTCTCTCAGAGACCTCAGGGTCTGAGGGTAAGGGCTGGGGACGAAGAGAAGCAGCCCTGGTTCACCCTGGGGCAGGAGGAGTGGGCTTGGGAGGAAGAAGGCTCTTAGATTCTAATTCCAGTTCTGCCATTTAGCCAGCTAGCTGTGTCCGGCTTTTGCTTACACATGACCTTTCATGGCTACAACCACCTCCATGGCTCCTCCCTCCGCGTCACCTTGGAGTCTTCACTTCTTCCGGCCAGATGCTCCCATCCTTCCCAATTCATATGCATGACAGAGGGGATCTGGCCATGATCAGAGGGTCACAAGGCCCTCATAGATCTGTGGGAGGGACGGGCCGTTGGACTGCCATGCCTCTTAGCAGACGAGGGCTGAGGTTGGACGAGCTCACACATGTAAAGGGCCCACAGGGGACTTGGCACATGGTAAGTACTTGGAAGACTTTGAATGAAACTCAGAAATCCTCCTCTCACACCACAGACCTTTCTCCTGGCCCCTTCCTTTTGCCTTCACCCTCGTGGAGGCCTCCAGCCTTGGATTCCCCAACCGCTGAAGTTTTTCTTGGCCTCTCTCCCTCTCCCCGCCAGCCTGGACCTTGGCGGGGGTGGGGGCCACTGTCCCATCCAGACCCCTTGCAGTACCCTGCACCCCCCACCCCGCACCCCCTACCACAGCAAACCTCCTCCCACTTAAAGTTGCAGACCCCAGCTCTGCTGTTGTTCACAGACCTCCTGCCAAGGTCTCTGTCCCTGGGAAGGGAGTAGGTGACAACTGCAAGGATTCACCGAGCACTTCTAAGCGCCTGGTCTGCTGCTCAGTGCTTTCCCCAATAATGTTATGAACGCTTTGCAGTCCTCCTTGAGACGAGGCTTTGCCCAGATGAGAACAAGGAGGTGTGGCCCAGTGAGAGGACGTGAAGCCAGCTCTAACTACAGATCCTTGGCTCACGAGGCAAGCTGCTGGTGTGAGCACTAGCATCATTAAGCCCGTCCAAGTGGAGCTTCCACAAGGCATACTGGCATTTCCCGCCTTCTCTTTAGCTTTACCAGGTGAGTTAGCTAACAGCTGACTTTTATCGAGCCCTTTATGCATGCCAGGCACTGTTGTAAGCACTTTACGTGTATGTACCAATTCATTGTGTCTTCTTCATAACTCTGGAGGATAGGCTCTGTCAGTATCCCCGTTTTGGAAACAAGGAACTCAGGTTCAGTAAGTGGCCACAGTCACGTCATCCTGATGGAGCCAGGTTTCACAGCCAGGCCATCTCCCTGCAGGCCCCCAGCTCACAGCCAGGCCGTCTCCCTGCAGAACCCCTTGACCACCGTGCCACAGAGCTGCCCCCATTTCAGTTCAAGGCCCCAGAGCCCATTTTCTGCCCACTTCCTCCAGGAAGGTTCCATCAATCATTCCTTACCCAACCCCCACACCTTTAAGTTCTCTCTTCCCGCTGGATCCTTGTGACTTTCCCATGCCGACAAGGTCCTCCATCCCAGGTTACTCTGCAGCTACTTCTCTCTCTCTCTTTTCTTTTTAAGATTTTATTTATTTATTTGACAGAGCGAGAGATAGATAGATAGTGAGAGAAGGAACACAGCAGGGGGAGTGGGAGAGGGAGAAGCAGGCTTCCCGCGGAGCAGGGAGCCCGATGCGGGGCCCCATCCCAGGACCCCGGGATCATGACCTGAGCCGAAGGCAGACGCTCAACGCCTGAGCCACCCATGTGCCCCTGCAGCTACTTCTCTTCCTTTCCTCCCCTCACAGCCCAGGTTCCGGAGAGAGTTTCTCCACGTGTTGTCCACGCTTCCTCACCCCTCTTCCAAACTGACTTCCACTCCTCCCACTCTGCCCTAAGCAGATGGAGACGGTGCCCTCCCGTTTCCAGAGGAAAAACTGCATGCCCATCCACAGCTGAAAAGAACCCATCAACCAAACACGGGATCAGCTGCGTAAGTTGTAAAACATGTTACAGATCTAGCAGTTCTGCAGCAAACGCAATCAAGATTAAAAAGAGGATCAAAGGCAAGAGCGCTGAGTCCTTTGGTAAAACCTGACTGGCAGTGAGGCTTGAGCCAAGTCTTCTCCATCCCACCGGAGTTCTGAACACCTCTCTGCGCCCATGTGCTAACATCTCAGCCAACCCAGCTTCCGAGTGCAGAGGCGGCAGACCCATCCTGGCGCTGTCCCGTTTCACTGTGGACACAGCCTTCTTCCGCTTCCTCGCCCAGTTAACATTCGGCCATGCGGACCGTGGCTTCCTTCTTGGCAACTACAGTTATTGGAAAACAGCATCAAAATAAGTCTCCTGTTCTTCTTGGTGGTTTTGCAGTCACCATACCTCCCTACTGGCCTTTAGGCATTTCTCAGCCTTTCTCTCTTCCTCCTATAATCTTTGTTCTTTCCTTCACATCTGTCCTCTGTCTCCCTTCCTAATGCTCTACTTGCCTCACTGGGCTCAGGGTTTCTGGGAGAGTTGGGCAGGAGTCATTTGTATGCCAGCCCTGAAAGATGACCCTGGGCCCAATGCAGAGAGAGAATTCAGGGTCATGGGTAGGGTGTGTACAGACCCCTCCAACTGCTCGGTAACAGTGGGCCCAGGAAGACTCCATTGCCAAGGTTCCCAACGACTGCTCCACGGAGCTCCCCTGCCGCCCTGCTCCCTGCGGGACCCTCAGCCTCAGGGCCCGCTTGCTCCTTGATGTTCAGGAAGCAATTCCATTCCTCATGGGCCAACATCACATTGTACCACTCTGATTCCTTATCTCTCTTCCTGCTGCTCACTCTCTAAGGACTGGAATTCTAAGCTCCAGCCTTGATCTTCCATTTGCTGTGTACATTCCCTCCAATGACCTAATCCACTCTCAGAGCTGTGGCTACCCTTTGGTCAGCCATTCCTGAATCTCTGTCTCCACGCTAGGTCTGGGCTCCACACCCACATACTGAACTGCCCTCTAATCCCCTGGCCAAGACCAAGCCCATCGGCTGCTCCCAAACCTACCCCTCCTCCTCTGCTCTCTCTCCCCACCCCCCCCCCCCCCCCCCCCCCCCCCAAACACGCACAGTCTCCGTGAGTCCCCTGTCTTTTGCTTTCCATATCCAAGCCACCACAGAAATCACATGGATCCTCCGCCCTCATAGACTCTCTGGAAACTGTAGAACACAGTTGAAAGAGTGTGGGCTTTAGGGTTGGACAGACCTGGGTTGAAATCCTGCCTCTGGTACTTACTGACTATGTGACTTGGGACAACTCTCTTAACTTACCCAAGGCTTAATTTCCTAATATACAAAATGCGGGTAATAACCTACTTTGAAGACTTGTTCTGAGGATTAGAAACACTGATGTAAATACTTACCCCATGCCCATCCCGTCATGACACTTACTGGTAGTATTCGTCCTAATGATGGTAAAGATTATTATTATTTCTACATTCACGTTATTGCTCTAATCTAGGGCTTCATCTTCTCCTTTGTGGACCACTGATGGCATCAGCCTCCTCGCAGAACTCTCTGCCTTTGTTCTCCATCACCACCCCCAAATCTGCTTTTCCAGCGGTAGGGGTGGAGAGATTTTTCTAAAATTCAGATCTGCAGGTGCCTGGGTGGCTCAGTTGGTTAAGCGTCTGCCTTTGGCTCAGGTCATGATCCCGGTCTCCCTCTCCCGCTACTCCTCCCCCTGCTTGTGCTCTCTCTCTCCCTGTCAAATAAAAAAAGTCTTTTAAAATAAATAAAGTAAAATAAAATGCAGATCTGATCATGACAGTTAACCTGCTTAAAACTCTTCTCTCCCCCATTCTGTCTGAACTGTGTCCTAGCCACAACTCACAGGTCTCCAAGCACACATTGCTCACTCACAGTTCCCTCTGCCTCTGCCTGGCAGAAGGAATGTCTCCTTCCCCTCCTTTCCCTCATTCCCTGCCTGATACATCCTCCCCCTCATGTCCAGAGCCAACGCCTGCTACTCCTCCACGTGGGTGTCTATGTACTTGGAGTTGACTGGAGGGCAGGGGTCAGGTCTGATGCTGCTCGGTGGTCCCTGCTTGCCTGCACAGGGCTTGGCATAAAGAAGGGCCTCACAGAATGTCTTCAGAGGCTTGCCCAGGTTTGAACCCTGGTCCCTTGTCTCCCTGCCTGGGACTCTTTCCACCACACTGGTCACTCTGCCCCCAGCAGAGAGCAGGAGCCCAGAGCTGGTGGCCTGGGTGGGGGACTTCCCCCTGTGATGGCAGCAGTCGACCTGAGGACATCACACACCCCATCTCAGTGCTGCACTCGGTGAGTGGGGAAAGGATAAAATTATCTACTGCCCACATCCTGTATCTCCCCATCTGACACGGAGGAGAGATAAAAAATGAACGGCACAAAATCCAATCTTCCTTGGTGCAGAGGTGTGGGGGTGCGGCGGGGGGTGCCTGGAGGCCCAAGAGGCAGCTCCTCGTGGAGCACATCTCCTATTTATTGGCTCATAATTGAAGGCAGCCTGGAGATGTCCCAGCACTGGCCCCCGGCAAGACAGATGGGGGCACAGTGCCGGCTGAGGGAGGGCGTCGGGATGCGCATCCTGCCACAGTGGAGGGGAGGACAGAGAAGGGGAGGCAGCGAGCTGCTGCCCCGGCCCTGGGGGTCTCCCCTGGGCTCACGGTCCTGCTTCTGCCACCTACTTGTGATGACCTTGGGTCAGACTCTTCCTTCTCCAGGCCCATCATTTCAGCCTTCTGCGTTTCATTACCAGGGGATAGGAGAGCTGCCCTGGGATTTGGGGGAAATCCAGGCTACTAACTTGCTTTGTGGCTTTTAGGTGAATCTCTTGACCTCCTGAGCTTTGTGCCTTCTCCTAGTAAAGACGAGAGGATGCTTCTGTCTTCTGTGTGAAGACTCAGGGGGTTGGGGTGGCCTGCAAGCAGCCGGGTCACGCATTTTAGCAACAGCACTGGAAGGCTCCCTGTTGGGGAGAGCAATGAAACAGGAAATGTTGCCAAACAGTAAGAATCTGCTTTGGCTCCCATTTGCTCATGGGAATGATCCAAATTCTCAGGCGTGGCATTCAAGGCTCTACCTCTGTTTTTTGTGCCATTGTGGGGAAAGGGTTTGGGGCTGGGGGCCAGGAGGCCTGGGACCAGTCTCACCACCATCTTGTTAGGTGACTTTCAGCAGGGCTCTGACCCACTTCCAGTCTCATTTTCCCAGTCTGTAAGATTTCTGTACATGATCTATGAGGTAATTAAGGTCTCCGAGTCCAGGGCCAGTCAGTAACTAAGTCCCGTCGTCTCTCCCTCTAAGTGTCCCCAACCCTCCCCTCCCCACCTCCAATAACGGCTACTGCCTCACCTCAGTGCTTACCTTTTTCTCCTGGACCAACGCAGAAGCGTCCTGGCTGATGTCCCAGCCTCTGCCCACCCTTCTCCACAATCCGGTCACGTGACCCTCCTAAAGCCCGAATCGGACCCTGTGCCAAACCCTACTTCAGCTTCCTTGACACTTAAGGTCCAGCATGACCTGGCCTGGTCTGGTCCGCCTGTGCCCCACCTATCTGCACCCTTCAGGCCGGCCTCCTCCCTTGCCTCTTCGGTGCCTCTGCTCAAATTCTTCTCCCAGACCTCCCCCCTGCTCTCTCTTCAGCTCTGACACAGGGTCTTCCCAAACTGGTCCCTGCTGCAGCCTCTCGAGAAGCTTCTGGAGTTCCGAGCCCCACAGGGGATATGTCCCACGGAACCCCCACAGCCTCAGGTATGAATAATGCTGCCTCTTCTCCCTCCTGCTGCTGATGACCAGCGGTGTCTGAGCCACAGGGGGCCCAGAAGTGACCTCCTCCAATCCCCCATTGTACGGATGGAGAAACGGAGGCCCAGAGAGGGGCAGTGGCCACATAGCAAGTCAGCGTAGAGCCAGGGCTGGGGATCCTCCAGTGCCTGCTGTGTGGGGTGGGGACACTGGGCTTGAGCAGAACTGCAGGCGAGACAGAGAAAGGGGATTGGGCAAAAGGGACATCCTGGCCACCTACCTCTCCTCTAGTGGTCAGGGTGAGCTCAGCAGGAGAGACTCGGGGATCGGGGGAGACTTCACTGACCGAGTTCCCAACCTCACCAGGCCCCCTGCTGGTTCTGTCACATCAGGGGTTGCAGGTCTCAATGCTTTAGATGACCAAGGCACAGGGTAGGTAGGATTTTCCCAGTTGCCCCAGAATGTTAGGACCAGGCCTAGAATTCACCAGAATCCAAGACCCCAGGAGCCCACCCAGCATACCACATTCCCACTCTGGGGCATGAGGTTGGTGAGCACCTGGACACTGGAAGGGGCCCAGTTTCCTCCCTGGCTGTCCCAACATCATTTCCATCTCTGATCAAGACTTCTCCCTACCAGCGGTAGCCACCCATTCAGTGTAACGAGCTCCTCGGCTGGTGTCAGGGACACTAGGTCCTTGCCCTTGTGGCTCACAGGCCTGGAGATGGGAGACAGGGACCCTTGAGGGGAGAGAAGATGAGGCTAAATCATTGCAGCAGTGATGGGTGGAGATGGACGGGAGGATGCCAGAGAGGTATCCTAGGTGCCCAGGGGTGACGGTGGCCAGGCCTTAACTAGGATGCACAAGTATGTGGCTCAGACCCACAGGGCCCTTCAAAGGAATGAGTCCTGATCAGAAAGCTGACCCCTACTAGGGGAAGGGCGGGGAGAGTCTCCCCAGGTCCCTCTCCGTATTTCAGGGAACATTGTCTCAGGGCTGAAGTCTCTGCTTCGGATGAAAGGCTGTTTTATGTGGGCGGGCTCAATGTGATGGTCACATTAAGTGGCGCCGTAAGGGAGCTTTGCCAAGTGTGAGGTTATTAGTTT